GGTCTAGGATGGAAAAAATTTTAAACACTGTCACTACTTATAGATATTATGAGTATCTACACTAACAATCCAAAATAACTTATGGGCAATGATTATAATTCATAAAAGAGTTTAGAATGTTTTCTAAATTGAGGTCTATATTTAAAAATTATTAACCTTTCTCTATACCAGCTACAAATAGTTCAGAACTTCAATAAGATCAACAACATGCTCAATACCCATATAATGTTAGTTTTCTAGGAATAACACTGAAAATGTCTGAGAATCAAATTACAAACACACCCCTAGAGATAACAAATAAGCACCAAGAAATATAATGATATACCACGGAATGAATATAATATTGGAAAAATGTAAATTATTCCCTAATTTATCAATAGACTTAATACAATTCTAAAATTCCAATATTCTGTGTGTATCTGCATATTGTGCATAAAGTCTGACAAGTTGAATCTAAAAGTTTAAAGAAAATCCTAATGCTAAGATTGGCAGGGCTTCCCTGGTGGCACAGTGGTTGAGAGTCCGCCTGCCGATGCAGGGGACGCAGGTTCGTGCCCCGTTTCGGGAAGATCCCACGTGCCGCGGAGCGGCTGGGCCCGTGAGCCATGGCCGCTGAGCCTGCGCGTCCCGAGCCTGCGCTCCGCAACGGGAGAGGCCACAACAGTGAGAGGCCCACGTACCGCAAAAAAAAAACAAAACAAAAAAAGACTGGCAAAACATTCCCAAGAAGAAAAGCAAAGAAAGCAGAATGAACTTTACCAGATATCAACAATTGTTATAAAGATATAGCACATAAGATATTATTTCATTAGCTCAAAGTTTTTCACTCACGGAACAGAACTGAGAAACCAGAATGAGAACACACAAATATGGAAACTTTTTATAATAGAGTCAACACTGCTGATCCATGTGGGAAAGATACATTTTCTAATAAATGGTGCTGTTGACTGGATACCTAACTAGGTAAAACCTAAATAAATATTGGGCCCCTACCTCACATGATATAAAAATGAAGATGAGCTGCATTTAAGACCTAAATGTAAAAGGTAAAATTCTCAAGCTTAAAAAGACAATGTAGAACAGCAATTAGGCCTATCCTTTAAAAATTATTTGTAAATTTGACTAAAACAGAATTAAGAACTTCTACTCATTAGGCAATATATAGTTTTTTTAAAAATATACAAAATGTGGGATAAGGTATTTTCACCATGTACAACTGATGAAGGATATTATTCAAAAAAATTAAGAGCACTCTGTGGATCAATAAGAAAAATAAAGAAATCAAAAAACTGGAAATAGAAATGAATAGGACTTTTACCTAAGAGAAGGCACAAATGGCCCATAAGCATAACTAAGAGATCAACTACATTAAAATTAGTACTATGCAAATATATGTGACAATGAGTGATTATTTCATACCACAAAATTGAGAAAAATGAAAAATCAGACAGTAATATTAAGTGTTGACAGGATGCAGAGCAATGGGAATTCCATCCATTACTGACTGGAGTGAAATCAGCATATCAACTTTGAAAGACAGTTTGTCACATACTACATAATATAACTGAAATGTGCATTCCTCAGACATGCAAATTCTACTATTAAATATGTACCCTAAGAAAATATTGTCTCTATCCCAGAACCATGAGCAAGAATACTTAGAGCAGCGTCATACATAACCCAAACCTGGGAACTCTCAGAATGTTTACAAAGTGGAAACCGTTGTGGAAAATTAAACAACAGGGCATACACCCAGAGAAAACCATAATTCAAAAAGACACATGCACCCCAATGTTCACTGCAGCACTGTTTACAATAGCCAAGACATGGAAGCAACCTAAATGCCCATCGACAGACAAATGGATACAGAAGATGTGGTACATATATACAATGGAATATTACTCAGCCATAAAAAGCACTGAAATTGGGTTATTTGTAGAGACGTTCATGGACCTAGTGACTGTCATACAGAGGGAAGTAAGTCAGAAAGAGAAAAACAAATATTGTATGTTAACACATATTATGTGGAACCTAGAAAAATGGTACAGATGAACTGGTTTGCAAGGCAGAAATAGAGACACAGATGTAGAGAACAAATGTATGGACACCAAGGGGGGAAAGCAGGGGGGTCGGGGAGAGGATGGTGGGGAGGAAAAAAAATAATCTTTTGAAGCCTTATAATTTCCATTTTGGAGTTCACCCATTTCATTAAAAGTTATCTGCTTTACTGGTAAAAATGATTTTATATTTAGTTCGGGTGAAGGGAGGGGACAGAATGGTACAATGAGACCATTGTCATAATACATGTTTAAAAAACCTAGGAGTTTAAAGATTTGAAAAGTTTATATTAAAAAAAAGAAAATTAAACAGTTACAACAAATCAACTAGAAGTGCACACACATAAATGGATCTCAAAAATAATTTTGAATGAAAGAAGCCATACTGTATGATTCAATGTTTAGATAAAGTCCAAACATAGGCAAAATGCAACAATATTTGTTTAGACATAAGAAATTACAGAGAAAAGTAAGAGTGAATACAAATTTCAAGACTTGGAGGAGACAGAATAGTATCAATGACCCTTTTTCTTGGCCTGCTTATTGGGAACAGAGATGTTTTTCTTATTTTGACTTTATAACTGCATGTGTATTTGTGTGCGCATATTTTATTTAGGTTATATTCTACGGTATTTTTAAAAAATGATAAATTATAGTCTATTGCACTTTTCATGTATCTTCCAGTGAATCATATACATATACTAGCAATTAAAAGTATTTTAATTGCACACAAAATTTGTACTTTAGGAAACTTGTTTTATCACCAATTTTCTTTGTAGGTCAATTTCCCTTGCCCTGAGCTCTGATGAGAAAATTAAAGGTACATTTTTCCAGGAGGCTTTAAAGGGTACAGTACGTAGCAGAAATAAATGTGAAGTATTGGATTTTGTGTCCAAAACGCATTGGCACAAGCAAAGGACAGGCACATCAACTCAAGTGAAAGTAACTTAGATGGAAAAATAATTACAGTTATCATTGGTGGAGTTTATAATATGTGCAAATAATTGGCCAATTACTTTCTAGTATCTTTAATCCTTATAGCAATTCTGCAAAGTAGAACATCAGACAAACAAATTGACTTGCCACTTACACAGAAAAGCTAGGATATGAACCCAGGTGTGTCTCTCTCCCGCATGTTCTCTTCCCATTACTTCATTTTGCCCAAATATTATCATTCGATGTCTGATGGTGGGGTATAATGGAGCATAAGACGACCTGTCAATCTCTCTCTACAAATTATTGGCTGTTTGACCTTGGATAATATTTCATGAATTCTTAAGAACTCATTTCTTTTTCTTTCCTTTTTTCTTTTTACAAATTGGGGATTATAATACCTATCTATCAAAGTCATTGTGAAATTTAAATACATATGCAAAGCCCCTAGTACAAAACATCTATTCAATTATTATTATTTTTATTATTATTACTAACTTGTGGTTAAATTATGAGAACATCTCCCCAAACTTTCAGCATCTTGTGGTTAAAAAAAGAAACAGATGGTTGGATGAATACAGGGCTGATCAAGCAAATAGAGAAAAAAGATCAGAGGACTGGAAACGTAAGGATTCTGGTAAGGAGCTTGCCTTTGTGCCTGTTCATGGAGTCATGCCAAGGTTGGAGGGATGATGTCATATGGAAGAGGCTGATGCTCTGAGGGACACGGAACATTCTTATGACAAGCAGCAGGGTAGGGGACAGTCTTATTTGGAGGAAAGGAACGAAAGAAGAAAATGGAAGACTCTAATTAAGTCAAGCACACCTGATCCAGAGCTGAGAACAACCAAAGCCCTGAACACTGTCACAACTATCTGAATATCTCACTCTTGTCTTCCTGGGGAGAGAAGTCAGGAGGAAGGCTGGCCAGGAGAACCTCAGCCTGCAGCTACTCGTGATTCTGCTGCTGATTTGACCTGGGATGCACCATTTCCGTGTTGCTAAGATGTCTTTACCAAACCATAGCTTCTCAATTTCTGTGATATCCTCACCATGACAAAAAAAAACAAAAACCGGGCTTCCCTGGTGGCGCAGTGCTTGAGAGTCCGCCTGCCGATGCAGGAGACGCGGGGTCGTGCCCCGTTTCGGGAAGATCCCACATGCCGCGGAGCGGCTGGGCCCGTGAGCCCTGGGCACTGAGCCTGCGCGTCCGGAGCCTGTGCTCCGCAAATGGGAGAGGCCACAACAGTGAGAGGCCCGCATAACGCAAGAAAAAAAAAAAAAAAAAAAAAAACCAAAACAAAACAAAAACAAACAAAAAACCCAACAGAGCTCCTTTGGTTGAATAATAGAATATGGACTTCCTATCATCAGTGAAGGTTATTACCTTCACTCGGTTATTACGTCTATACCCTTCTGAATCCGTTTCCAACAACCTAAGTCCTTCTAGAAGGACATAATTTTTCCTGTTACTTTTCCAAGAAGTAAAATGTTTCCTCTATCCCTAGCCTAACACTAGAATCTGCTATGCACAGCAGATCTACTGGATCCCAATGAACTGCCTGTTCGTTTGCCCAGGTATGGCCAACTTCAGGTCCCTGGCTCTTCTGATCCACCTGCCAGTGTCTAGAACTGCGGTCCTCCTTCCATCCTTGGCCCAGCCAGTTAGATACACCACAGCCCTGATGAGCGAATCTAGCTGAAGATAACATGTGTGCCAAGTCAAGTCTCATGAATAAATCCAAGATACCCCCAGAAATGATCGAAAGACACTCTGGAAGTATAAAGCACGGCAGATTTCTAAAACTCAAATGACCTCTGTTCAGCTCATACTGTAAACGCTATTCATTATTTCTTTCCCTCTGAAATTTGAAATTGTTTTGGTTCTGCCCAGAGTTGACCTCCAATGTCCCCATGAAACCTACCTTACTGGGTGCAGAAGAAACACTAATGACAGATCCTGTAAGTGACAAAGCAAAGTAGCACTTTGGGGTACACTGAACTCCATACCTGAGCGCATAGCCTCTTTCTGAATGCTCCCATAGTCATGCCAGTCCTTTCTTCTTAAACCATCTGTCCATGCATAGAAATGCCCATCTCCCAGGCCCAGTGGAAATGTCTGTGGAAAAGGAAAGTATTCAGAGCATAAAAAGGAGGTATTTCCTTTCGCATGGCAGGTAAACACAGCCAGGCACATCACAGGCAATCAAAGAACACACGATTAAGTGGTCTTCCTCAGTCTACTGAAAAGGAAGCTGCTGCTGGTGACCAGATGAATACACATTTTAAAACCTTTCTCCGTTTTAAAAATAAGAGCATGTGTCGCACACAGCACCTACCATTTCCAACTTTATTTCATCCAGAAACGTTAATAATTTAGTGTACCACCTCGTCCGAGCATAAATGCCTAGCTGTTTTCACTTGCCCCAAGTGTAAATAGTAGTAGTATTGATTTTGTATCATGGAAATACTTTTGTTTGCAATTTGTACAATTTGACTTGTTTTGATCAAGTATATTTGAATGGCCTGGTGACAATATTAGCAAGCATTTATTGAACGCTGTGTCCCAGGTACTAAGTTGGATACTCTGTGTAAAGAAGATCCTTTGGTCTTTATATAGTCTTCAGGTGTAAACCTTCATTTTTCTGCTAATTAATCGAAGGCCCAGAGAAGTAAAATAACTTGAAGGAAACCACAGGGGCCAAGTCAAGACTTGGACCAGTTCTATTAAGACCAACATCACGGTCCTAACAAGTATTAAATACTGCCTACCACCTAGATTTCTGTCAAATTATGGTGCATGGTTATGCTTATAGTTGAAATTATCGCAAAGTCAACAACTGTAGTCACAACATGTTTTATGCTTTAGTAAAATTCAATATATTCTAATGTCACCTTGAAAATTATTTCTGTGTGCATGGCTGAAGCTACTTGTCTCTTGATGGTGTTTATTTTGGTCATAAACAAAAAATGTTTTGGATGAAATGTATTTTCACAATCTTAACAGTCAAAATAATGTAAAATAAATGTTTTCATATTCACATACCACACATCACATTTCCTTTTATTCGGCTCATTTTTGGAAATAAATAAAACATCAATAGAATAAAGAGAACACTTTTGAAAGTTTCAATTTAAAACAAAAGATGAATAATTTCAGTGAGGAAATTTTACCCTAAGAGCCTTTCCAAGGCAAATAAAAGGTCTTACTTCTTATTTTAAAACAGTACAACTACTGTGCTTATGAAAAAATTATCTACCTTGGATCCATCTTTATAGCTTATAAAGGATCCACTTGTTTTGAAAGAATAAAAATGGACTTGATATTAAAAAAGGTAGTTAAATCAGAAGGAAGATTTTCCAGATCAGGTGACTATTATCTGTATATTTTTTTTAAAAAGTTGTTCATAATAGTGGTGAGTTCAGGAAAACAATGGAGGAATAAACAAAGGATGATGGTGAGTTTATATAAAATATTAAGAATAAAAAAGCAAAGTTTTTAAAGGAGGATGAAAAGAAAGAAAAGATGGAAAAATTAACAGAAAATATAAAAATAGAAGAAAATGGAATAAAACAATTTTGGGGTTATAATAGCAATACTAAAAAACCTCATGCATTTTTTTCTGATCAATATTGCTTTTATAATTAGAAATTTTCCCAAACTCAGCTGTGAATGGGAAGTTTTAAATAACCAAATAACTTTAAAATACAAAACCCATGTTTTGTCTCAGCCATGCATTTCCAATGATCAGTGCTGAGCAACCACAGAAAACTTACAGATTTAGATAATACCAATTTATAATAAACATCACCTTCAGATCAAAATAGATAATTTCAAAATAAACTTTGCCATGAAACCTGGAGATGTTCTTGTGTAAACTCTGAATATGCAAAGCTCTCTCTGATTACCTGTTGGTTCACAAGCCAGGCCCCTACTCCACCCTGAAACATGGAGGGCAAGGAGAGAGGGAGAGAGGCAGACCCTCCGGATGGGCAGGGGGTGGGTTTAATATGCAGGGAACTTACACATGAGGCTTGTCCTGCAAGACAACTTGATCTCTGCACCCATATGCCTGAATCTTAAAAAGAGACCTTAACAGGGTCCAGTCACTATTCAGCCCAGACGGTCTCAACATCACTTTACTCTCTCAAGTCTGCATCCTGAAACTGGTTCCCACCTTGGGAATGGGTGGCAGATGTCCCTTCCAAGGACAGGGGAAGGGTGAGGCACCTCCCGTCACTCAGATCCACGTGGCAAGTGGACCAGCTGCCATGACCTCCTGGTGACCTCCTCCAACACCCCACCCCTTGAGACCAGCTCTTATAATCTCACATGACCTCACTTTTGCAGTGTGCCCTGAGCGGGTCTGCAAGGGGTCTTTTGAGCCTGGAGGTGGCTCCAGGCGGCCATCTGACTGCGTTGCAGGCAGAGACCTCTGCAACAATACAGGTACAGGCAAGAGAAGACAAAGATCAAGATGATTCTCAAAATCATAACAATTTGTTTCCACCAAGAGCCCTGGGATTCGAACCACTGGTTTATGGAGTCCTCTAGGCTGGGGTCTGATCACGCAGGACTTTCATATTTGTCCTCCTGTGATTGGTTAAAGATGACACATCAGCAGACTCATCGGGTGTGAACACACAGCACTGCCTGGACGATCCTTCCTTGTGAGGCAGGGACAATGTCCAAGGCCATCCTGTCTGGGAGGACAGCCCTCCTCATTAGAGGCACTTCAGTGTTCAGTAAAGACAGCCTTGTTGGCTTCATTCAAGGCTTGCTAGGTCAATGTAGTCAGGGCTTCTGTGTGAGCTATGATGTCCTGCAGCCGAAGGGCGGTTCCAGTGGGAAACAGAGTGTGCCCTCTGGCTCTTTAGGAACGTGACCTGGTTGTGCATACCACACACACGGGCCGGGGGACGGGCACTATTAGCTGTGAGGAGATGATAGACTGGGGGCCAGAGATGCCAGACCAGGGCCCCAACTTCTCCCCTCACTCAAGGGTGCACCTTCCATCCCAGGTGGGGTGCGTTTCCACTGCCCCAGCTGGCAGCAGGACAACGGGGTCCCAGTGGAGACTGAGTGGTTCCCCCTCACCCAGGGGTGTGAGGTAACCCACCCATCCCTGTGGGATATCCCATCGCAAATCCCAGTAGCTGCACCTGTCCCAGGTGTGATGGGGCTTGGTGTTCTCAGCCCACAGCATGCTGATCCCCAGCGTTTCCACCATTTCTGTACCTTTACAGTACTGGGTGCTTTGGTAGGGGTCCCCAGTCTGGAATATGGGGCAACAGGCCCCACTGATTGGTTGCTCAAAGGTATCAAAGCCGAAATGATAACTTAGTCCCCCTGGCTACGCTGTTTTACTTGCTAGTAATTTAATCTGCTGCTTTAACATTCCATTTTTTCCTATCAATCCTGCTGCACGTGAGTTACAGGAGACATGAAACCTGCATCCGATACCATGTTATTTAACCCAGTCTTGCACATCATGACCTTTGAACATGACCCCTGATCGCTATCCGACGATGGCATCCATACAGGGCATTCAGTTCCTCTAATTGCCTAATGGGTGAAAAAAAATTGCCTGGTTTGAGTGAAAAAAGGGAAAGTTTGGGTTAAGCCAGACACAGTGTCCTCACAAGCTGAGGCATTTAGAATGCTCACTTGGACGGAGGGGACCGACATGATCAGCTTGCCAATCCCTCAACTGTTGGGAACTCCTCTGCTGGATGGCCCCAGACTCCTATGGCAGCCGCCTTGGGGTTGTTTAGAACACGTAGGACATGCTGCTACAGCATGAACCAGTCAAGGGCAACTCGGCATCCTTGGGGACTGCCCAGGAAGGAGTGGATGGGGATAAGTATAGGCACCGAGTGGCCCCTCTTTCTGTGCAGTCCATCTGATGCATCTCCTGAAGGATCAGTTTTTAGGGCTCATACTGAGCTGGACCATCGCCTCCTGATGGCCTAGTGGGTCAGTACCTCACAGACCAGGACATGGAAGACAGGGCCGACTGCCTCAGGCTCTTGCTGGTGAACTAAAAGTCCCTCCGCACGTCCTGAGCCCCCAAGGGCTTGTTCATGATCAGCCACCCCGAGGCTTCCCCTTGTCTACACCATCAGGTCAAGCCGTATAGAACAGCCCAGCTGTTGGGGCCAAGGGTTAACAGCCAGGGCTCAGGGGTGATGACCAGCTCAGCAGGTCTGAGTCTAGCCCACCGGCTGCTGCAGACCCTTCCAGTTTCCACCTAGATGCTGTCATTGTTGGGCTGAAGAGCAACTGAAGCCCCTGTGGTTGGGTTGGAAGCCCCGACTAGACCCATCCGTATGCCAAGCTTCAGCGGAAATTTCCCCACTTCCTCTCTACAGGCTGCAGGGACCGCCACAAAAATAGGGGAGGCGACATTGGGAGGATCTACAGGCTGTACGGGGCCTAAGAGCACCCGCATTTCTAGAGACAGTGGACAGGCAGACAGGGGCTTCTCTGCTGCAGACAGGCTGCCACTTCGTCACCCTAGGAGTTTGCGGGGATCCATGGAACGTCTTCTCAACGCACCCCTTGATGGGCAGGGAAGCTACTACAACATGCTGTTTCCTCCTGGGATGCTCTACCTGGAGAAGCGTGAGGTAGACTGCCAGGGTCTTTTGCTCTCTGGAGGGCTACTTGGTTTCTGCCCCCTTCCAGAACTGGGACCAAAATCCTAGGGGAACTCTCTTCTCCTGTTGTTCCTGCCACAGGGTCCTACCCATACTTCCGGGAGTCACAGATCCATCAAACTCAAATGGCAGCCCTGCTTGGGAGATGCCCGGAACTTTAATCTGCTTCCCTGATATTCTGGCTTCTCAACGGCCGCTTGCTGCCCTGATCCACAGTCCCACACAGGCCTTTTCTTTACCAGGTAGTAAAACGGATGCATACACTATGCCAGGTGGGGAATAAAAGCCCTCCCCAAGCCCCTACAAAGGCTGGCACCTCTTCCAGGGGTCAGCTAGGTTGCACCTTCTCAAACACAGCTGCTGAGACAATGCATGTCTTACCCAAACAAGCAATTCCCAAACCGCCACTGCAGTGCCTTGAATTGTCTGTGGGTTCACTGCCCAGCCCCTCCCTCACAG